TGGACATATCTGGGTTTGGTGGTAGCCAGGAGAACAGTACTTGTCTGACTGCATTGTGCCAAGTGTAAGGTTTGGTGGAGGGGATTATGGTGTGGGGTTGTTTTTCAGGGGTTGGGCTTGGCTTCTTAGTTCCAGTGAAGGGAACACTTAAGGTGTCAGCATACCAAGACATTTTGGACAATTTCATGCTCCCAACTATGTGGGAACAGTTTGGGGATGGTCCTTTCCTGTTCCAACACGACTGCATACCAATGCACAAAGCAAGGTCATTAAAGACATACAGTGGGGATCAAAAGTTTGGGCACCCCAGCTAAAAATTTGTATTAATGTGCATAAAGAAGCCAAGGAAAGATGGAAAAATCTCCAAAAGGCATCAAATTACAGATTAGACATTCTTATAATATGTCAACAAAAGTTAGATTTTATTTCCATCATTTACACTTTCAAAATAACAGAAAACACAAAAATGGCGTCTGCAAAAGTTTGGGCACCCTGCAGAGTTAATATCTTGTACTGCCCCCTTTGGCAAGTATCACAGCTTGTAAACGCTTTTTGTAGCCAGCCAAGAGTCCTTCAATTCTTGTTTGAGGTATCTTTGCCCATTCTTCCTTACAAAAGTCTTCCAGTTCTTTGAGATTTCTGGTCTGTCTGTCATGCACTGCTCTTTTAAGGTCTATCCATAGATTTTCAATTATGTTGAGGTCAGGAGATTGTGAAGGCCATGGCAAAACATGGCCTACAATAAACAATAATGCACTAGGTGTGTGCGCCACCTGTTTTCTCTCTATCCAGTGGCTGATTTCCCCGTCTGAGGAGGGCTGCACCCCTGGAACATTTCCTTTTGGTTGTTGCTGTCCTGGTACCCTTGGCTTCCCTTTTGGCTGTGCATATCCTGAGGCGCTGGAGAGTACATACGCTATGTAATGCACACAGTTGCAGTACGGCATTTACAGAGTTAAAACAGTTAAAACAGTCACCTGCTCTCAATCACCCTCTGAAGGACATTCCACTGCACATCACTTTTCAGAGTTACAGCTGTCCATCTAAACTTGGCCTGTGACATAATACGACCAATAGCCGGCCTTGTTTTTGTATGGGACAATGAAGGCCAACATTACAGGTGTGAAGGGGTCCTATATGATATTACCTCATTCTATGCCCACATTTAGGCTCCCTTCTCACCATTGGAGCATCATTAATTTCAGGTGACTGCCCTAAGTCTCTGATCATTTTACAAAATCTCACCACTCTATATAAATCCTGTATAACAATAGTAATAATACCTTAGTAGACCTAAGTGTGAGGTAAACTAATGAGCCCCTAGCTGTGATCACAATCTCCACCCAGACTCTTCTGAGTCGGGTATAGTTCCTACCTCTTTTTTTACCCCATGGCAAAACAAAGTATAAAACACACCTGGAGCACGCCCCTAGATGGCACATCAAATGAGAGCATGGGGATATAAGCCATATAGCCAATCCACATTGTATCCATCCCTCTGAATATTTGTGGTTGGTGGCCAGCCCCCTTGCCAGTGACTCTGAAGCCTTACAATCTGTACCCATCAGAGCTTTTTGCACATGCCTAAGAACAGCTCAGTGTTTGTGTTATGGTGCTGGGCTTGTGTACTGTCTGCCATGTCCCTGCATGGGAAACAAAAGGAGGTTTATGAGTAAGAGGGGCCACACTCTTTTTATTCCTCACTTCAATTCCTACTGCAGCTTCTTTGCAGAGCCGCTCCACCATGGCCGCAACAACACAGGAAGCCCATGGGATAACTTGTTTGAAGTGATGCACACCACATACTGTGTACCTATTTGCTGAGAGGAAGTGGGCAGAGGTGCAGCCTGCCTCCTGTTACCTCCTCAGCCAATGAGTAGCTGAAGTCCCTCCCTTTTGACTTTTCCCAGAATTTCCCAAGTCCCAGTCCAGCCAGCTAGGATGACACACTAGGATGACACATTTAATGATGCGGACGATCTCATATTAATGGAAGATAGCAGCAACCCATATGTACAGCCTGCCTGTGGCGCGCACCTCATGAGACGTTGACTCAGGCAGGAGGGAAGGGCTAATGGCCAGGGGGGACATGGGTGGCGGCAGAAGTGGTGCAGCTTTTTTTATGAGGCAGCAGACCAGCCCAGGGGGTAATTTCCACCCTGCCCTCCAGCCCATTCCACCCATGAAGGTAACCATGGTGATAGCTAGGACATGTGGCCTGATAAAAAACGTGTGTTACTGGCCGAGTTGAGCGTCTTTCCATGCTAGAGCCATCAGCTTGCCATACCGTTTTTTATGTTAACACAGTGTTTTTTTTTATCTTGCATCTTACTTTTTGGATGGGAACTTTGATCGTAAAGAATAAAGAGTCTTTTTGGGCATACTTCACTATGTATGCATTTTCTTAATTTTTTTTATCTACTGATGTCATGGCCATTGATCCACTGTGGTGGAGCTATATTCGGGGGCAGAGTGCCATTACTTTCAGCTTCTAATGGTCCGTCTGTTTTGGAGTATTGTCTGTTATGGCTACTGGCTTGCTATGGTGAACTTGTGATTGCACAATCTTCAAGCTGAGTGCTTTATGACCATTTATAACTTTATGGTCCACCTGGTCTTGTAAGAGGCCCTTACATCTTTATGTGGAGGTGGTAGAGTCTTTTCACATCGTGGTGTACCATTGCAACATAGATCGCACTTGGCACTTTATGTACACTGATTATCTTTTGGAGAAGAAGGGATTTTAATTGCAACATAAATTTGTAATTTATGTTTCACATGGACACTTCACTTTTACCTTATTTTTAAATGTTATTATTAATCATTTGTTTCTTTCGCATTTTACTTTTTGTATTTGCTGTATGAAATTCACTATATGAAAATTCACTGCTATATAATTATTGGATTTTTATTGATTTCTAGGTTTAATATTTGCACTGTTATTTTGTTTTTACATCAGTCACAATGACCAGCACCCATGGAAGGAAAAAAACAAATCAGCTGAACAATGGACACACCTAGCCTTGCCACTAATGTGTACTGAATGACATCTCCTAGGGCTCTGCTACTAAATGTAAACATAGGGGTTTCCCATGTGATGTCATTGACATAAATGCCATTGACCAAATATGTCCATGACACCAGTGATGTCATGCAATCTCTTTGTCTACGTAGTTGGGGATTCCCAGTTAGTAAATTAATAAAGGCTGGGTGATGTCACTGGTTGCTAAGAATGTGGAGTGTGTTGGCACCTTTAGCAATCATTGACAGATAGCAAGTAGTAGTAGACATGTTGCTGGTGTATGACGTTGGGTTGCTGCCTACAGGCTAAAAGTCCAGGGTTAGAAATTAACTCCCAAACAGCCAAAGTTCAGTCCAAATAGTGTTTTAGGTGGTTGTGTATGATATTCACTGTCTGCAAATATGACTTCATTTTTTAATTGGGAAATTAATAAAAATATGTTTTTACATGTGAGCTCTCTGCTTGGGTGCATTTTTACCTACTTTGTTAGCTTGCCTCTTGCAGCTACTGTGCTTGTTTCTTTATGTTATTTTTAGGTTTACTCCCACACCTTAAATTTGGTGAATTTGGGAGCTAAACACAAGGCTACCCCACCTGATTATGGCGTCAACTCTCCATTGATATTATTGTTCAGTCCAAACCTGTGCCTGGATCACACCTTGAGCTTATCCCTATACACCACCATATAAAGCAATCCCAAGAGATGCATGCAAGAATTCATACAATGCTGTGAAAAAGTATTTGCCACTTCCTGTTTTTTTTTGTCACACTTGATCCAGATCACCAATCAAAATTTAATATTACACAAAGATAACCCGAGTAAATACAAAATGCAGTTTTTAAATAATGATTACATTTATTAAAGGAAAAGATAGCAGTCCAAACCTGCCTGGTACTATGTGAAAAAGTATTTGCTCCCCAAACCTAATACCTAGTTGTGCCACCCTTGGCAGCAACAACTGCCATCAAGTGTTAGTAATAACTAGCAATGAGTCTTTCACATAACTGTGGAGAAATTCTGGCCCACTTTTCTTTGAAGAATTGTTTTAATTCAGCCACTGTGGATGGTTTTCAAGCATGTACAAGCAAAACTGCCTGTATAAGGTCATGCCAGAGCATCTCAGTCAGATTGAAGTCAGATTGACTGGACCACTCCAAAATCTTAATTTTCTTTTTTTTAGCCATTCAGAGGTGGACTTGCTGGTGTGTTTCAGATCATTGTCCTGTTGCATAACCCAAATGCGCTTGAGGTCACAAATTTATGACAGGACATTCTCCTTCAGGATTTTCTGGTAGAGCAAAGAATTCATAATTCCATCAATTATGGCAAGTCGTCCAGGTACTGAACCTGCCAAGAAGCCCCAGACCAAACTACCATCGCCATGTTTGCATGTTGGTATGATGTTTTTTTTTATGAAATACTGTGTTTGTTTTATGCCAGATGTAATGGGATGCACACCTTCCAAAAAGTTCAACTTGTGTCTCATCAGTCCACAGAATATTTGCCCAAAGGTCTTGAGGATAATCAAGATGTGCTTTGGAAAATATGAGATGAGCCTTTCTGCTCTTTTTGGTCAGCAGTGGATTTTGCCTTGGAACTCTCCCATGGATGTCATTTTTGCCCAGTCTCTTTCTTAGTGTTGAATCATGAATGCTGACCTTAACTGAGGCAATTGAGGCCTGCAATTCTTTAGATATTGTTCTAGGTTCTTTTATGACCCCCTGGTTGAGTCATCATTGTGCTCTTGGAGTCATTTTGCTAGGCCAGCCACTCCTGGGGAGGTTCACTACTGTTCCAAGTTTTCTCCATTTGTGGATAATGGCTCTCACCGTGGTTCGCTGGAGTCCCAAAGCTTTAGACATGACTTTGTAACCTTTTCCAGACTGATACATGTCAGTTACTTTGATTCTTATCTGTTCGTGAATTTCCTTAGATCATAGCATGATGTGTTGCTTTTTGAGATCTTTTAGCTTGCGCCGGACCCCCAGGCGGAGCGACGGTCTCAGGCCCCCAGGCGGAGCGACAGGTCTCAGGCCCCCAGGCGGAGCGACAGGTCTCAGGCCCCCAGGCAGCGGCGGGCGCCGGACCCCCAGCGGAGCGACAGGTCTCGGGCCCCAGGCAGCGGCGGGCGCCGGACCCCCAGGCGGAGCGACAGGTCTCGGGCCCCCAGGCGGAGCGGCGGGCGCCGGACCCCCAGGTGGAGCGAGTCTCAGGCCCCCAGGCGGAGGTCGGAGCGACAGGCCCAGGCCCCCAGGCGGAGCGACAGGTCTCAGGCCCCCAGGCGGAGCGGCGGGTGCCGGACCCCCAGACGGAGCGACAGGTCTCGGGCAGGCAGAGCGGCGGGCGCGGACCCCCAGGCAGCGACAGCTCTCGGGCCCCCAGGCAGCGGCGGGCGCCGGACCCCCAGGTGGAGCCGGGTCCAGGCCCCCGGAGCGCGACAGGTCTCAGGCCCCCAGGCGGAGCGGCGGGCGCCGGACCCCCAGGCGGAGCGACAGGTCTCGGGCCCCCAGGCGGAGCGGCGGGCACCGAGTCACCAGGCACGACAGTGGGCTCCGAGTCAACTGGCATGACCGCTGGCACTGGGTCAGACATTGGATCGTCTGGCTGGACAGCGGGCACTGGGTCACCAGGCATCAGGTCATTTGGCTGGGCACCGCGCTGGCAGCAGTGGGGCAGGCACGCGTCATCAATTGGCAAGGCAGTGGGCAGGCCAGGAGTCAGCCAGGTACAGTGGGCACGAGTCATTAGGGCAGTGGGCTCTGAGTCAATTGGCACAACAGCGGGCACCGGATCAGGTACCGGATCATCTGGATCAACAGCGGGCATCGAGTCAACTGGCCTAATAGGATCATCAGGCTGGATCAGTTCATCATGCTGGGTAGAGGCATCAGGCTGAGTAGAGGCATCAGGCTGAGTAGAGGCATCAGGCTGAAGAGAGGCATCAGGCTGAAGAGAGGCATCAGGCTGAAGTGCGGGTGCCGAGGCACCAGGCTGAACCACGGAAGGCAGGTTCTCAGACGGCAGGCTCACCGGTTTGGATACTGGCAGGATGGTACTGGTTGGAAAGAATTTTCGCTTTTTTCTGGTTTTAACTACTGGAGCACTGCAAGTAAACGCAGGTCTGCAAACGAATGGAGCAGCTGGAGACAGAGAAGAGCTGGAGGATGGAACAGAGGAGGGAGCAGTTGCTACAGAGGGCTTTTTTACAGGGTTAAAGGCAGGATAGGTGCAGCGAGTGGGAACAGGGTACTGACATGCGGTAGATAGCAGGGTACAAACACTAGCAGGTATAAATACACAACCTCATCAAGATCCATCCTTCCCATCAACAAACCAAGATGGCTTCCCTGTGCAGCCACTTCTGGTCAGGATTGGCCTTGGTGTAATGTCAGGGCTCCCGGGTATGACCAGAGGTATGTGACTGACGCAGGGAAACGCAGACTTCAGATATGTTATAAACAATATAATTTATTAACACTAACAATACAAACATAAACGCAGTGCAATACTAAAACATAACACAGTGTAAACAAACCAAACCAACCACCCACAGATGACAGTACATACAATGCAAGCGTCGTCAGGCAGGCCGGGTCAATATCAATCGGGCAGGTAGGTACAGGGGGAGCAAGCGGAGAATGGTCGGGGTCACAAGCCAGGTTCAGCAGGTAGCGGGCAGCGTGGTACAGAGGGTCAGGCAGAGGAGAATGGTCAGACAAGCCAGGGATCAGGAGCAGGAGAATGGTCAGACAAAGCCAGGAATCAGAGCAGGGTCAGCAATGAATCAGACAGGAACAGGAACAGGGAGCAGGAACAGGATACAGGGCCCAGGAGAAACACACACCAAGGCAGAGTCTGCAGGTCTGGCCATCCCTAAAATACACCAGTATAATCAGTTCCAGGTGTTTGACTGGCTGCAAGGTTGAGTCTCTGATTGCTGGGAGCACCCGCTGGCCAGCCCTGGTACTGCAGCTCATAAGGCAGGTGAGTCCCACCATTGCTGGCCAGTCCATTCCTGACATCATCCATGATTTAGCAAGTTGGGGGGGGGGGCATTTCTTTTTCACATAGGGCAAGGTAGGTTTGGAAAGCTTTTTTCACTTACTAAAGGAAATCATCATTTAAAAACTGCATTTTGTATTTACTCAGATTATCTTTGTGTAATGTTAAAATGTGTTTGATGATCTGAATCATTTAGGTCTGACCAATATGCAAAACAAAATCAGGAAGGGGCAAATATTTTTTCACTTTTGTGTAAATGCTCAAATCAGCTAAAATCAGAAACTTGAAATCTAGAGACAGAGTCTTAGTTTTGGTACCCACTGTAGAGAGTAATTTTCTTGCAAAGTGATAGAATCCATACAAGATTAGAGAGTCCAAAAAGTGAAAGCCCCTTGAAAATATGCCATGTTAACCTAATAAAACCCCAGAAGGATCAGGATGCTCTATCAGCAAAAATGACCCAAAAGTATCACCATCGATAGGCATACCTGAGGATAAGATGTGAAAGATCCTGTGCGCCACTCAGATTCAGGAGGTGAGAGGCATTTTCAGAATTATCTGGCCAAACTAACCTCATTTACAACAAAAAAAGGTTAAACTTTGTTGGGTACCTGAAGCTCAGAGAAAAGCCATTTCCGAAGAATAACACATTATATTATTGGGGTTATAGAGGAATCTAATCGTGTAATCAAATCACATAGTGCTCATCCCTAAAAGCAGCCTCAGGTTCTCCAGTGACTTCCAGAATCTATGAAATATGTAGATTTGATACTTATCTCATTCCTTAGATAAATAACGTGTCTTAGGCAGGCCATACATTAACCAATTTCTCTTCCTTCAGTTGAAGGAAAAAAAATTACTTAATTCCCCCCTGAACACATTCAGTGTTGATGGTGGCATCCCTGCCATGGAGTTATTGTATTCTGACATTAAGAGGTTTCTCAGCCGTCAAATACAATGAGCACCACTTATGGTCATTGCCGTCTTTTCACATGGGCCCTAGTGATCAGAGCGCAGGTGGAGGGAAATAGGTGAGCCACAAAGATAAATTCCAGTAATTTCCCTCACCCGCCACACACACTGGTCATCCTCTCCTATCCACTATCAGGTTCCCCCTGTGTGCCCCCCTGCCCAGCACTGCTGGCTTCCCTCCTCTCCTGCCAGAGGCTGCAGGCACACAAGTGGATCTTCGGGGTGAAGAGCAGGGGAAGAGGATGGTAAATATGTCATTTATCAGCCCCTTCCTTTTCTACATTAACACAGTGAATGATTGGTAGCAATTACTCAATGTGTTTACTCATAACTGAGGTGTAGTAAACTGTGATTACTATGCTTCTGTTTATGAATGAACTTTATGAATGACTGCAGATGTCTCTTGTTCATTCATCTGCAGTGCAGCTGAAACTGTAGAAAGGAATTGGAGAATGTGTTTCCTCTGTCCCTTTCTCTGTCTCAAAAATGAGACTTCAGGGCCTGTTTATACCCCTGATATCTCACCAAAGACCCCAAAAGCAAAAAACAACCCCCCCTAAAGTGTTGTGTGAAAAAAAATGTAAATTTTTTTTTTAAAGAATTGTTATAGTTGCTGTAAGAAATTGTAAAAAATCAGACTAAAATTTCTAATCAGACTAAAATGCCATGCCCAATATGTAGCATAATTTATCCACACACCCACTGTTTACCACCATAGATCAACTTTATTACAACCAGCCTGCTCATACTTAGATTGAAAATTTGATCTGACTATGGCTGGCTTAAGATTTCTTGAGAACCATGAACTCCCTATTGGGCTGATATCTTTTCTTAACAGTTGTTAAGAAGGAATGGTGAGCATGGTAATGACTAATTTTGCATTTGCTTTCTTTAATGTCTAACCTACAGATCTCTGTATTTAATAAAATAGCAAAGATATATAAGGTCAAGCATGTAAAATGTGAAAGTCAATTAAAAAATTACTACATCACACGCATTAACTGCATTAAACTCAAAATATGTATTTATGTAAAATATACTATGCTTTTTCCTTTAAACAATAGGAATACATTTTCACTAATGTTCATCTGCTTTTTCCCTTTGTATGTCAATCAAATGTAAACCTCTATCTTTAAAGCTGCTTATTTTTACTTTTCTTTGTTACAAATATAATGCATATTTTAGTAATACTGCTTACAATATGAATTGTAGAAAATTGTCAGTTTGGCTACAGTAACATTCAGACTGACACTTTTGCTGATCCTTGCAGTTCTAGCACAGTTTTTTTTTTTTTTTTTTTTTGTTTTCTCACAGCAGATTACATAGTATTCTCATTTGCCTTTTCAATACACTATTTGCAATTTCACCTCTCTATTTTTATATGCAAAAAAATGAAAACAATTGTTCATTGCTTTTATTATTATAATAGTAGTAGTATACTGTATATTCCTGATCATCTGATGCTCTTTTTTTTTTCTTTTCTTTTATTTATGCTTTTATTTAAGTGCTTTTTTTTTTAGGAAATATTGCCACTGTTGTTTAATTTGTTCAATTGTGTTTTGCATTGTTGTTTACTGTGCAGCAGCATTGGTGGGTCTTTAAATTAAACAGGCTTTTTTAACACTTGAGTAAATTATACATTGATATGCATAGCTAAGGAGGTCAACTGCAGTGAGCCATCTGCACCTTTGTTATGTCTCCTGGCAACCGTAATTCACTACTATCCTACACCATGTGACCTGCCTTGCTTGCTCTGAGTAAAGCTAGCGCAGGAAGTGCATCTGACTCTTTGTTTAAACAGACAAGATAATCTGTAGTTTCAAATGCTGATAATATTGTTAATTGTTTGCTCCTGTGGATCACTGATAACTGTTTTATAGAGATAGCAGTGTTTACTGTTTCTCATTTTTTCTCATTTTTATTCTTCAACATTTTTTCCTGACTTTTTTTATCATTATCTTGTAATAGTTGATGGGTAATTAGAAAGATTATAAGAGAACACCTTTTTATATCTAAATTATAGTATCACTTCATTAAAGTATTTTTTTATTATTATATTATTTTAGATTAATTTGTTTGTTGCTTAGAAACTCTTTACAGTTCTATGACCTTTTGGCTAAAAAAAAAATATTTATCTAGTAGTATTTGCTTATTGATATGCTTATTGATCTATAACTGTCGAAAAATGGTATGTAAGAGAATTTGGTTTATGTGTATAGCTTGCAGGGAAAATAAAAATAACTTTTTATATATTGTGCATATTGTTATGAGTCATAACAGCATAATATCTGTGTATCGATGCTAATGCACAGCTGTGTTCAGATTTCCTATACCAGACTTGCTTTGAGTTATAGTATAACATTTCAATATATACTGCCAAATGAAACTCGTGCTAATTCTGGCCTCATTGTTTCTCCATATACATGTCACTCCATTTGCCTTAAACATAATCTGTTACTTTATACTATGACATAATTACTAGCGCGCTTGCACACAGTTCTGCAATATCCTCATAGAGCTATTAGGATTTTTTCTTTCTTTTTTTAGCAGCCACTTGTCAGTTTTTCTCTGATGATGATACTGTTATATTTTGCAGTTTCAGTGTCACACCTACACCTAGTGTTGGTCATCAGGCGCTATATCTGGCTTCTGTGTTCTTCACCTATAGCAAACCTCCTTTCCCATAAGACAAGAAGGCCTGCCAGTACTTGGTTCCCCCAGGTCTTATACACAATGCTATACTGCTTGGCCACCATGGCACGGAAGACACAAACTAAGCACAGGGAACAGGTACTTGCAGCAGACAGAGTTGTCTAGTGACAGTCCGGGTTCAAGGCAGGAAGCATCCAAAGAGTAGTCAGGGAGCAATCTATGGTCAAAAGTCTAAGATCGTTAACAAGGCAATCCAAACAAGCTGACAGGGTAGGGCTAGGATGCAAGTCCAGAAATGAGAACGAGGCAGGGAAACTTAAAGCATGTGTTGCAAACACCATCACAAGCAAGAGATTAATGATTTGGATTGCTTAAAGTAAGTTTGAACACCACCTAAAGACTGTATCTAGCATGTGGACAGACAGGGAGAGTGCAACTCAGTCAAAACCAGGATGCTGAAATTAGACCAGCAGCTGTCATGGAACAGAAGTGTTACACGCTCCTAATACTCATGAAGACTATGTTAGGCCTACAGAGTTAATTTCAGG